TTTTAGTTTTCATCCTCATTTATCGCCAACTTGACGAATTCAATTTGTAACTAGGGGTCATGAGCCCAGGGCCTCGTCTTCGGTGGGGGTCTCGGTTTGTTCTTGACTCTGTGGTCAAATTTTATTCCCGTACCTATTCTTTGAAAAACAGGGAATTTTAAACTGCATGTCAACTGGCAAAAGTGGTAAGACTGTATAGAGCCCTAGTCCATGCTTAAGCCTAATACCATAAGCAATCATTCAACTCATTGAGTCAAAATGCAGCTATCGGTCCAACCGGCTTGTGCCTAGGCTTCTGAGATTGTGAGTCAAGCATGCTAATTTGTTTCAAATGACCGTTTTAAAGAGTATTTGACAATGCATGGTATGTGCCGAATACATTTAAAGATCATAAATAGGGCCTAATCTTTCATAGGGCCCAGGGCCTCAAACAATCTTAAAATGTCCTTGGGCCCAGGGCTCTAAGAGTCTAATTTTGTAACGGGTACTATTCTGGTTCTTGTACTAATTGTCTTGGGGAAAAGAGTATTCTTTAACAGTGATTTTAGTTTAAAAACCGCTTTCCGTAGAGATGACTTAATTTTATGTAAACGTAACTACTATTTAAGTATCTGTCGTTGGGTATGCGAGTTCATAGTTAATCGTGAAATCTAAGAATAAGAGAGGGTCAACTGCGACTGGGAGGTGGCGCGTCCTGAAATTAATAATCGTCGTAGAATCCGCCAGGAGTTGTGGAAGTAAATAACATTGGTGCTGACCGAGCTTTCGGGTTACGAGAAGGATCGTCACAAGGAGCTCCGACTGAAGCTAAGTGATTTTCATTTCTCTCATACGCCAGATTAAGTGTTAGGATTTCGAATGGCTCCCAGAATTACTATAAAGTTGTATATTCTCATAAAGTGTTAAAAATATAATAAAAGTAGCTATTTTTAAAATCCTGCCAGCTTCTTCCTTGAACCCTCTTACACCCACGACCTTCCAGCAGCGACGAATTTGCTGCTGTAATTCGAACTCGAGAATTCAACACATAAAAGCATTGCTAGAGTCGTTTTTCGCCCTTTTCGCCGAATTAAGGGACCAAACTAAAATTCCCCATAGAATAAAATTCAATAAAAATAAAATAAAGAAACAAAAACATATTACAGAAAAGAAACATCAAGTTATAGTGACCAAATTTGCATTTAACCACTGTTTTTATTCTTTTTTCGTATATAATTCTTGTCTAAATATGAACTTAAATTTCTCTAAGAAAATTTGGTATTTACGTATTATACCTTCGATCAACTTAGCAATACGAAAAAAGTTGCCAATTTAAAAAGTGTCGTCAAATGTTGTCATCATCATTATTATTATTGTGTTTGAACGTGCGCAGGAATGGTTTCCACTACTGGATATACAACGTGGCATTTGGCGGCATCTTTTGATTTGGCGAAGTTGGTCGACAATACAATACGTAAATATTGGAAATTTGGCTCAAGTGTATAGTATAGGGGGGAAAGCCACTTTGTATTTGGCGATTTTTCTTCGAAATTTGGCGAGTTTTATCTAAATGTCATTGTGATATTTCTAATTCATTCTAAAAAAAGTAATAAATAATTCCGAAAAAAAGTACCTTGGTGACCGCTTTTAGTCGCCAAAAAAAAGGATTGCGCCAAGTGGCCCCCCTATACTATCCTTTAACCGGAAATTTAAGTTTTTTGAAAGATAGGGCTGGAAGGAGACAAAAATGTTTATGTAGAAATTACTCCTTAAATTATATGTACTTCAATGTCAAGTATATTGAATATTTTTCCTACGTTCTGTGATAATGTAAAAAGAATCACGAAAAATATAACTAATAGTTGCTTAGGAAAATTTAAGGTACTAAATTAAACTTTAATCGACGCGAAAGTACAAAATAGTAGAGTTTCACAGTACATTCAAAATTAAGATTGTTAGGAAATAAATTAATTCTATGATGATTATTTTTCTGGTAGTGTGATGTAATTTTAGTTTATGTAAGTAACTCAAAGTTCACAGAAATTTCAGAAACCTTACTTTAAATTGTCTTACGTCACACTTTTTTTCAAATTAAAAAGTTATTTTATGTTTAATTTTCTTAAATGTGGTTTGAGAGGGACACAATTTTAAACTTAATAATTATCAAAATCATAACTAAGCATGGCTGAAACAACCTTCGACCTGCTCCTAGGGTCCGTACAAACCCTGTGCAGAAGACACTTTGTATTTTATTCACATTCCGCTTTAAAATCTAGCAATTTCAAATTGAATTCTTTACGTCATTATTAATACATAAAAATTTCACGACAACATGAAAGGAACTGGATAGACCGATTACGGGAACAAAAGAATCCTGTCTGTAAAAAACTGACACCATAATGGAGGGGAGAAATGGATTTATACTTCGCGATGGAGTGATCTGTGAAACTAATAAAAAAACTTACATTTTAGATTTGAGAGTATCTTATTTTTCCAAATACGAGTAGTTCTCAGAAGTAAAATGTAGAATAAATGTTGTGAACATACAAAAAAAAAAACTCATTTGTATATGTAATAGAGGATATTCTAAAGTTCAGAACGAAATTGGAAGCAATGGTTTTTCATTATCCGAAGTAATTAAACTGAAGTTTTACATTAATTTTCAGATTATTTCGGGTAGTATTATTTTATGAACGTGGCTGTATTAATAATTTACAGAATGATTATATACAGATGCAATCATTTGCGAAAGTAATTATGAGTTAATAACAATAAATGAGTACACTTCACAATGTACTATATCGGTGAACTCTTATGAAACGTAGAATTGATAGTACACAGCAAGATGAACAACATTGTTATATAGATGGGGGTTTGAGGATTTTATGCAATCAGTCTCAAAAAGCAAGATGGTTCTTCGGGAGCGCGCGCGATGGAAATTTATTGTCGAAAAACAATACCTAAAATACAGCAGCTATATTCGAAGAATAAATCTCAGAAGGAAATCACACCTCCTACTGCGCTCAGACACAACTATCAGTGTCTAAAATATAAATGTGTAAAATATTATTCACAAGCACTGGCTCGTCCTACACAACAGCTGAAGTAATCACTAATTGCTGGTCGACTCTTCACGGTCAAATCAATCTCTGGGCCAAATCAATAAGCCTGTTTATAAACAAAGCACCCGGTGATTAATTTGGAGTTTTTTCTCCCGCTTGACGGAGTACTGGGACACTGGGAAATAATTATCTGATTGGTTGCCGGTACATGACGAAGACGGCTCTCACTGGCTCTCTACCCAGTGTGCTTTTTTAAACATTCCTACAGCGTGAATGACACTTTTTTATACTTCAGTCTCTTCCTTGTTTCCCCCACCCAAATATCAATTTGAATAAAGAATATTTTATTTTTTCTTCAACTAGTGCGAGATTTTTACAATTTTATGTACTGTGATAAATATTGTTCATTTTGCTGTATATAATCCTCCTTCTGTTTTTGATCTAAGAAAGATATAAAGCCACCAAATAGAAATTTTCAACAAAATATATACTCACAATTCTGCTAGTGGGATCAAAAATTATCCGTTCATGTTAAAGGATATCAAGACACAAGCTCCGGTTCCGCAGTATTCCTATCAAATCACACCTGAAAATAAAATAAAATTTATGTAGCTGTTGTAATTCAGTATTTCATCATCAAAAGATCAATATAACTCCTCAGCATCAAAACACTAACGTCTTTGCAGTCATTGTATCCTATTCGATTGAATTTCGAAACATGAGGAACAATAAACAATGAGAAGTAATGAAAATGATAGGGACATGCTTCCCACGGCTGATTTGAAAGTGAAGTTACAGAGAGATTTCTTTTTTGTTATAAATCCCACCCGTCATAATTATATCTATTACTTTCAGACAATAAGCGGTAGTTACAATTAAGGTATCCGACTGCGTTCAGAACCGTGATTTTAAAAAAGCGCATAAATGGATAATTTTCATTGTATTTAGTGTCACTTAGATTAGAATACATGTATAAAATTGTTTTAAAGACATTTTGAACAAAACAAATATATATTTAAATACAATATTTTGGCAAAAAAAATTAACTTAAAACATTTTTTTCTCAAAATGTTCGCCTTTTATAAAAAATGCTTCTAAAATAATAATATTTTGAATGTATAAAGTAAACACTTCTCCCGAGAGTCTGAACTAGGATTTTTGAAAAATTCCCATTATTTTCAGAGTTACCACCAACTGAAATAATTTTCGATGTTTTTTGCTGAAAGTTTCTTTCCTCTGTTGTAGTAAAATATGGATAAATCCCCTTCTAAGTTATATATTTCAAAAACTCTTGCTGAGCCTCTGTAGAGAGGTCTGTGAGCTATATACACGCAAAATATTATTATAACAGAAGCGTTTTTCACAAAAGGAGACTATTTTGAAAATTGGTCATTCTAAGTTCATTTTTTTGTCAATTTGTTATATTGTACTTAAATAATTTTTTTTTGTAATACTATTCTTAAAATAATTTTATATACATTTTCTAATCTAAGTTGACACTAAATATCATAAATATTATCCATTTATACGCTTTTGCAAAATCACGGTTCCGAATGTAGTCGGATACCTTAAGTAGGTTTTTGGTACGTATTTAATCGAGAACTTTTATTTAATGAATATACTACGTAAAAATGGTGTTTTTAAAGACTCATATTCATAGTACATATAAAATAAGCAATATTTTGATAAGTATTTAAACAAAAAAAGTCATATAAAAAAATTTTAAGTCAATTCCTACTTAGGTGAACAAAAATTTTTATTTTAGTTAGTTTTTATTAAATAATTACAATTCATATAAATATGCAGTATATACATATGACAGAATCACAATATTAAGTGGCAAAATAGAAAGCGATTTTCCTTTCAATTTTCCATTTCCCTTTCTATATAGGATGTTGGACAATTATTTTTGTTTGTTATTATTAATTCATTCATAAATCCCATTCTCAGAAATTAGGCCATCCCAGGAAGAATTCGAACCTACGACCTTCGGATTAGGAGTCCAACGCGCTATTCATTGCCCTACAGGGACACAACGAACGATTTTCCTTTTTATATAAGGTGTTGGATTATTTTTGTTTTTATTAATTACTCATTAATTAAATACAATTAATGAATTAATATTTGAAAAAACTATATTAATATGAACTATCATCCACACAACAAGCTTGAAAAAATGTTTTGAACTTCAGTGGATGAATAAAAAGCGTTTTATCAACGATTGAAAATTTGAACAAAATATATATCATATATAGGGAGAAAGTGAACTAATAGTAGGAATTGAAAAAATTAACTTAAAGAAATACAGGGATTGTTGCGATTATTAGAAAAAGGGTAGTGTATAATTCTGTGTTATTTCCATCCGTTTGGATCATTTCTACTTAGTATTCGCCATGTTTAACCTAATATTATCGCATCAACGTTGCCCGAGTTATCCCTGGCATTTTCTCAAAAAGAAAAATCAATCTGCGCTCACTTAACATTTATTTACTTATCGGCAGTTTGTTGATAATTGATAGCTTCTAACGCCACGAAAAAATTTTTACGTATACGCTTTAGAAATACATAGACTTACATAGTGGTATTACATAGTGCAGGGATGGCGAACCAATGACACGCGTGTCATTGATGGCACGTGACACAATATTTTGGGCACGCCACCGAACAAAACGATTTTGCATTTTGGTTCAAAATATTTCCGTAATTGATTCGTCGATCAAGGAATTTTCAGCGAGAGTTTCTCAGTTCAAAGAATTATGGGAAAAGCTGAAGTTTATTATATACCTTGATACGACTTCATTTGAACTTGTCCCAATTCGATTGGCTGGAAATTGAAGAATTTAAAATGCAACTGATTAATTTCCAGTCTTGTTCAATATGGATTCAAAGATTTATTGAAACAAGAAAAAGTTGGAATTAATTGAAACAGAAAGATTGACAAGAAATATAAGTAAAAATGCCAGTAAAGAAATTTAGGAAACATGGAATTCAATTCAATACATAATTAATAACTGTTTGAAAAAGCTGTCTAATGCTACTTTAACCATATTTTCATCTACATATGCCTGCGAGTCATTATTTTCAGAGATGAATAACATTAAAGATTTGCTTAGAAACCGTTTGAAGATGAATCTAATCCGTCCTTCATTCTGCTAAAAGTAAAATCTTACAATCCTAATATTATGTTATTTGTCATCTAATCTGCAACAACAGAAGTCACACTAATGTTTAAATTACGCGTATAACTAAAACATTTATTACTATAAAGTGTAAAATGCATTTTTTCGTAGTAAATAGAGTTTTGAGTTGTGTTAGTATTTAGTTTTATTATTTTCCCAGTTAGAACAAGTCAAAATTACTTGACGGCACGTCTATACTTCATTAAACATTTCTTAGTAAAAAATGGCATAAAGGTTCGCCCCCTGACATAGTGCATTCAATTGCCTTTCTCTGGCAGTAGTTGTTTACGTAGTAAAAATATGAATCAAATATCTTTTGAATATACCTCATATTTATATACAAATACCACGCATTAAAAATACTAAACAAATATTTCTCTACATCGGAAATATTAATGTACTTTCGTACATTTTGAGGAACTGATTAGATACGGTAGTGCAGGACAACGGAACAACTATACATTAACAATGCTGTATAAAATATTCCAAACAGCTCTTTCGAAAGGTTGGAAAAACCGATCAAAAGTAGGCGAACTTTATGCACAATTTGGCATTTATATCGTTCGTATAATATTATTCAACCAGTAGGACGAATAATTGGAAAATTATTCTACTTCTGTGAGTCACTTCCACTGCTTTTGTTTTGTTTGATTGTCCACGGACAATCAACGTTATTATGGACCGTTTGAAGAATCGAACCATGAAATATCTTGTTCTTGAAATTGCAAGAAAAATCTTAGATGGCATAACCATGGCCACGATTTTCATGAACAATCAAGGCGTGACGTCACACGGCAGAAATTTAAAATTCTATTCAGGTTTTCTCGATAGATTTAATGAAAATTGCCTTCAGAGACCAAGTAAAAGTAAATACGCAGATCGATTGAAAATTTTTTTATGGTTTCCTCAGTTTAGAAAAAGGAAATATTTACATATTTTCGAATGAAGTAGAAATTTGCACAATTTATATATGTAACCGTAATTTATATTTCATGCTAAGAAAATGGAGGGAAAAAACGAGTTTCGCTTATGGAGTACAATTATTTACTAATTATGAATTACATAAGTGTTGCATTATATAATTACTAGGAAGAAAATTAAGAACATAGACGGTTTCGACTTAAGAAATGCTTATATAATATTTAACATGTCAGTAATAAAACAAATGGAAAAAAACTCGCCATTGTCATAGACGATTTCGATAAAGAAATGTTTATATATAATTTACACCATGTCGTTAGCACTTCAAATAGCGGAAAACTCGCAAATACACATGGACAGTTCCGACTAAATGCATATGTAGCATTTCTACCTTGTCAATAGCAGTACAAATGACGAAATCTCAATGTACATGACAGTTTCGACTTGGTATAGGTACCATGTCAGTAACAGTACAAATAGCGAAAAATTCGCCAATGAACGATATGGGAAAGTGCGAAACTAATCCCAACATTTATTGTTTAGTGATAATCAAGGACGTCTAAAGACATGAGCCATCTGGGTCCGTACCCAGGGCCTTAGTCACAATGGGAACTTCGTCTCGTTCTCAACTCAGCCTTAATAAGATCATGATTTAAATAATTTCAATGATGAAATGTTATTTCCAGTTATATTTTCCGAAAAACTAGGGATTTCGGACGTTATGTCAACTGACTACATGTGATAACCGTCGTGCACGTATAGGCTTAGGCTTACGACCATACATCATCATTAAGCCGTATTCACACCAAGGCTCTCAGCGTCGAGCCAATCAGAGACTTCTTCTCATCCAAGATGAAGTTTCTGATTGGCTAGACGCTCAACTCTTGAAGCTGACTGCCGTGGTGTGAATGCGGCTTTACTCATTCAGGCAAAAGGCTGCCGTCGGTCGAGACGGTTTTTGCGATTGTAAGTTATGCACATTTATTTGTTTCAGGTTTATACAAGTATTTGACAACGTATGCTATGTACTGTCTTTTTTAATGGATCATAGGTGTAGAGGCCCACGGCCTACTTTTGCTTTGTGGCTTAGGGTCTACTTTTACGTAGGAGCCCAGGGCCTCAATAAGTCTCCAGACGTTCCTGGTAATAATGGTTTTTGACATATGCAAGTTCTTTGCCGAAGTCACATGAATTTGAATTGATTTTAATTATCATCATTTTTAGAAGCAGCAACAGATTATTGGCGACAATTCCAACCGCGATCAGACGACGAGATTAGATTATACTTGCAAACTATGCAAGTCACGCTTATGGAAGACATAGCACGGGTTTTACGTGTAGCAGCCACGCGTTTTTCAAAAGTGTGATTATGGATCTGTTAAGAGCCCAAACTTTTTTCAACGGTTCTTGGGCAGTTTTATCATCTTAAAATAGGCAAACATCACTCCTGAATTTATCTACTACCACCTATTTGGATATCTCTAGGGCAGTGACGTTTTAAAACGTTTTGGGGTTCTAGGCCCCTATGCAAAAGTAGGCCCCAACCTCAACCCATTTAAGTGAACATGTTGTTACATATTCCTACAAACTGTAACCCGTAACAAATAAATAAGCGCGACTCACAATCTCACAAATCATGCGACTTTCGACTAAATGAGTAATAAAAATGAGGTCTAAACACAGATAAAGAATATGCCATAAAAACGCATTCTTTACTACTGTTGCCAGTTGGCATATAGTTTGAAATTCTCAGTCTTTTGGAGAATATGTCCCGGTATAAAGTTGACGATGAAAATTATTCAGATCATTATGTTATTGAAGACGAGTCAAAAATGAGACAAGGCTCCCATAGACCGAGGCCCAATCGGCCTATGCCTAAAAACGAAACGCAATTGGCCTGCTCCAGGGTCGAATAGATGCATGGTAAATTATAAAAAAGCCATCGATTCTGTTATTCGATAAGGGCGTTTATTTTAAATTTAAACAGTTCATGCAGAAAAACCTGCTTTTAAAAGTTATCGGCAGAATATAGCTTTAATGAAACTTCTCATTCAATTAAGCTTTCAGAAATGACAATTTTTCCTTGACCTCCATAAAATTACCAAATACTCTATTCGGTATAATAACCATAATATATATAGCAATTAAACACTTAATATTTTCCGAAAACAAAACAAATCAACCCGCGACGTCTCGCAAGGCCCCTTGGAGAATTTCCAACCAAATTACTACAAAACCACGAGAAGACCAAAAACCAAACCAAGAAAAAAAAATTTCAATCATTTTTCACTCCTAATCTTCCTGCTCAATCAGCTTCTGTATAAATTCTATCTAACCTTCATCCAAAATTGCTACTACAATTAAGTTAAGCGCGCCTTTAACAAGCAAAAGAACAAAAGAAAGTTCTGCAGCATTCGCCCGCATACTTTCTTGGGCGAGAGCGAACAATGTAGAAAAAGAGAGAGAGAGCGAGATAAATGATTATGAAATCCCGATCTCATAAGCTTGTATTTGTTCGAATGGCAGATCTAGATCTCGGATCCTTGGAATTGAATAAAAGATGACCCCGCCCTTTTACGACTTGCAAAGTGTCCACCCACGACTTCAAGGATAGGACCAAGGTGGTTGTGTGAAGATCACGATCTTGGATTTGAAAAATGCCTGTTTTTCGGAACAAAGGGAAAAAAGATTTTTGGATAGTTACTGCATAAATAATAACCTTTCTGATTTTAGTATGTCATGAAAAATATTCGTTGTTGTATAGTATATAAAAATATTTAGTTTATTTGTCGATTTTGAAAAAAAGGGGGAGGACAATTTTTCATAGAACTGGGACTTGATCGTGCGTGTAATTTCCCGCTTTTACAAGTTAATTGGCTCTTAGCAGCGGAGGCATAAACTGAAAATTCGTATAGATGAAATCAACTTTTTA